GCACCGCTACACCTGGTGCGGTTTCCCTCCACGTACTCTTCTGGTCTCTTGGCTGCCCTCCTCCCGGTCGGTCCGCGATTGTACCCAGTGTGGGGGCATGCCGCCGTGGGCTGTACAGGTGGCAGTGGTCGTGAGCGAGGCCTGCCAGGGTCACCTGCCTGGCTGTCACCGAGCGGTCAGTCCTCCTGCTGTGGATACAATATACAGCTCCTTCTAAAAAAATTGGAATATTGTGATAAAGTTCATTATTTTCTGTAATGTACTGGTAAACATTAGAATAGAATGTCATATATTTCAGAATCATTTACACACAACTGAAATAGTTCAAGCTTTTAATTGTTTTAATATTAATTATTTAAGTATGCAGCTCATGAAAACCTGGGTCATTACTCAAAACCGCAATCACGGGTAAGATTGCTGTCCAGAAGGCCATCACTAACACCCTCAAGCAAGAGGGTAAGACACAGAAAGAAATTTTTGAAGGAATCGGCTGTTCCCAGAGTGCTGTATCAGGGTGCCTCAGTAGTAAGTCTGTGTGAAGGACAAAATGTGGCAGAACATGCTGCAGGACGACAAGAGGTGACCTTTTTTGCTCAAATTTTGCACGTCATTCGGAAATCAAGGTGCCAGAGTCTGGAGGAAGACTGGGGAGAGGGAAATGCCCAAATGCCTGAAGTCCAGTGTCAAGTACCCACAGTCAGGGATGGTCTGGGGTGCCATGTCAGCTGCTGGTGTTGGTCCACTGTGTTTTATCAAGGGCTGGGTCAATGCAGCGAGCTATCAGGAGATTTTGGAGCACTTCATGCTTCCATCTGCTGAAAAGCTTTATGGGGATGAAGATTTCCTTGTTCAGCATGACCTGACACCTGCTCACAGTGCCAAAACCACTGGTGAATGGTTTCCTGACCATGGTATTACTGGTGCTCAACTCTCCTGAGCTGAACCCCATAAAGAATCTGTGGGATATTGTGAAGAGAAAGTTGAGAGACGCAAGACCCAACACTCTGAAGGAGCTTAGGGCCACTTTTGAAGCATCCTGGGCCTCCAGAACACCTCAGCAGTGCCACAAGATGATTGCTCCATGCCACGTCATGTGACACTCCATTTCATTTCAACAAAAGGATTCCCGACCAAGTATTGAGTGCAGAACAGAACAGAATTATTTGAAGGTTGACTTTTTTTTTTATGAACAATTTTCTTTTATTAGTCGGATGAAATATGCAAATTTTTTGAGACAGGAATTTTGGGATTTCATGAGCTGTAAGCCAAAATCAATATTAAAACAATAAAAGGCTTGAACTACTTCAGTTGTGTGTAAATGAATCTGAAATATATAAGATGTATAGTTCATTAACTGTGTCTATGCATATTTATACGTGTGTGTAGGTATATACTAGGGGTGTAACGGTACGCTAAAATCGTATTCGGTTCGGTACAGTGTCTTGGAGAGTTCGGTTTGGTTAATTTTCGGTACAAAACAATAAGAACTTACAAAATTTTTATTTTGAAAAGCTGCCAATACACAATAGAATTCTTGCATAAAATAAATAAAAGTGACACATTTGGGTGATATTTTAAATAAATTGCACTCTTTATAAAGAAATACACATTTTTAAAATAAAAAAACTAAATACTGCAACTAGTTAGGACCTGAAAACTTTTAACACTAGCAACAGCTTCAGCTTGTATATCAACAAAACTAACTTTTTAAGTTTTAGGCTAAAAAGATTAACCCATCCACATTTTCTGAAGAGAGCACAGATCTGGTTGCAGTGACAATATCTCCAGCAGTAGAAAATGTTAGATGTGTTGCCTGCCGATCTCCGTGGAACAATGTCGGCATACAACTTTAAATTTATCCACTCGTCTATCCCCGTTATGTATTTAACAGAGAAGCCAAAGTGTTCCCAAACAGGAGACTGTAGTGAAGTGGAGGGTCTTCAAGCTCTGGCTTCTCTTTCTCTGTGTCCATTTCTCACAGCTACTCGTGCAGCTCTACTGTGGGTCACTCAATAGCGTCCGTGCGGAAACTCGCCTAGGAACAATGTTCCGCTGCGCTCAGTATCGCGCTAATAATACATTAATATAATTTAATAAAAAAAAAATACCGAAACGGTACGCAAGTGTACCGAACCGAACAGGCCGCACCGAAACGGTTCAATACATTCCCATGAACTGTTACACCCCTAGTATGTACAAACTGTACTGCACATAACTATAACAAACGGACATGGTTTGTCTAGGTAGGTGTTCTTTATATATGTGTGATGTACAAACTGCGAAAACTTTACTGAACAAACTGTAACTGATATGGTATGTTCAGGTAGGCATTCTTATTCTCACTTGTGAATCTTTCCCCCTCACTTACATCTTTTATCCACTCCACCCTTTCCTTTTAACACCCTCCTGTCCTGATGTAATTAATGCAAACTGGTCTGTGGGAAAAATAAATAACTATATAAATTCAGTGTTTTCATCCAGAGGAGAAAACACCACACCAGGTGTTCACTCCCCTGAAGATAACAAAACTGTCCAACTCAAAGCACCTACTCTCCTATGTGGTGGCTTTTGAGCGAGACAGAACAAGGAAAACAAAGGTTTTGGTTGCTGCTTAGTGGTATCTACTTAGCACGAATGCAGTTCAGTGTTAGTTCAACAGGAGCGTTGCCAAACTGCTTCCAAAACTGACCAATAACAGACCACAAGCCCAATTTATACTTTTGCATCAAACCTACATGTCCTATGCTGAAGATAGACATAGATGCAGACCCTGAGGCAAGAGCCTGGCATGCACCTCCTAAAATTGTAACTTTGTCAAAAGGTAAGCTCTGTGATTGGACGGTTTGGATTGCGGTTTCTGCCAAGAGCGAGACAAACACCAACATGAACCAAATCACTGAGTGATTGATCGAAGAAGTGCAGAAATACAACCATCTGTATGACATTCTTTCAGTGGAGTAAAGATATTGTCAGATGGCAAATAATGTATAAAATGAATGATACTATTCTTTCACAATGAAACTTTTGGAAAGAGTAGTGGAAGCTAGGCTAAGAAGGGAAGTGGATATTTGTGAGCAGCAGTATGGCTTCATGCCCAGGAAGAGCACTACTGATGCAATTTTTGCTCTGAGAATGTTAATGGAGAAGTACAGAGATGGTCAGAAGGAGCTGCACTGCGTCTTTGTGGATTTAGAAAAAGCGTATGACAGGGTGCCGAGAGAAGAGCTATGGTCCTGTATGAGGAGGTCAGGATATGTATGAGAGAAGTAAGACAGCAGTGAGATGTGCTGTAGGTCAAACAAAGGAGTTCAAGGTGGAGGTGGGGCTACATCAAGGATCAGCTTTAAGTCCCTTCTTATTTGCTATGGTGATGGACAGGTTGACAGATGAGGTCAGGCAGGAATCTCCATGGACAATGATGTTTGCAGATGACATTGTGATTTGTAGTGAGAGCAGAGAGCAGGTGGAGGAAAACCTGGAAAGTTGGAGGTCAGCTCTAGAAAGAAGAGGAATGAAAGTCAGTCGCAGCAAGACAGAATACATGTGTTTGAACGAGAGGGAGGGAAATAGAACAGTGAGGTTACAGGGGGCTGAGGTCAAGAAGGTGCAGGAGTTTAGGTATTTGGGGTCAACAGTCCAGTGTGACGGGGAGTGTGGAAAAGAGGTGAAGAGACGAGTGCAGGCAGGTTGGAGTGGGTGGAGAAAAGTGTCAGGGGTGTTGTGTGACAGAAGAGTGTCAGCAAGAATCAAAGGAAAGGTGTACAGAACAGTAGTGAGAGCAGCTATGATGTATGGGTTGGAGACTGTGGCAGTGAGGAAGAGACAAGAGGCAGAGATGGAAATAGCAGAGATGAGGATGTTGAGGTTCAGTTTAGGAGTGACGAGGATGGACAAGATTAGGAACGAGCACATCAGAGGGACAGCTCAGGTTGGTTGTTTTGGAGACAAAGTCAGAGAGGCCAGGTTGAGATGGTTTGGACATGTGCAGAGGAGGGATGGTGGTTATACTGGTAGAGGGATGTTGGAGATGGAGATGCTAGGCAAGAGGTCAAGAGGAAGACCAAAGACGAGATATATGGATGTGCTGAAAGAGGACATGAAGGTAGTTGGTGCAAGAGTAGAGGATACTGAGGACAGAGTTAGGTGGAAAAGGATGATTCGCTGTGGTGACACCTAAACTGGGAACAAGCCGAAAGGAAAAGAAGAAGAATGAATGATACCATTCTTGTTTAATTTTCTTCCTGACCACTAGGGGCAGTGGTATCATATAAATACTTGCTCCCTGCTGAAGGGAGGAAATGGTAATGGCGGCAAATGGTTTTGACCGCATGCTTGAGTTTATATTTTTAGCTGTTTGTTGGTGATTTCTTTGTTCTAGACCTTACATAAAAATTTGCTTTACATTTATATTGGTGGCATGGACTCTCATGCTCTTAACATACCTTAAGTTCCCATTCCAAGCAGCTGAATGGATAACTGCTACATCTAAGACGAAGGAGGAACAACGCAGAAGTGCACATAGTAAGACACTGCTCTCTAGTGTTCCTGAAATGTTACTACATAACAGGGTACACACATGCACTGTAAACACTAAAGTTGAATGAATTTAAAACATTTGGACACAATAAAAATAAAACACAAACAATTTGTACATGTACTCCAATCATTTAGTTTTCATGGCTCATTTTATTGTAGTAAGTGAGCAGTGCCCCCTCCCCTCCAAGGTGAATACTCAAATAAACAGGCAATTGTAGTCGAGCAATGATCATTTGATCAGGCATTAACAAAATCTCGAAAACAAGATAAACAAAATTATACAACCCTTTTCGTCTTTGTTTAAAAGCATGTAAGGTCCAGAATAAATTTACTATTTGACCCCTTTCATTTATATATATTTTTTCTTTTAAAATATAACCACAACATCTGCAGACAGTGACTACTGGAATTTAAATTAATTTATGGGAAAAAACATTTTAATTGAACTATTTAAAAAACTGGAGGCAGTTGTTACCTAATGGGTAAGGAGATTGATTATTGATCAGAAGGTTGCTGGTTCAATCCCCAGCTGAGAGTCAAAGGTCGGATGACCTATGACAACCATGACTGTGGAGGCCGTGAGCAGGTCACCAGTTTGGAGGAGTGAAATACAGAGAACAATAACTGTTTGTAATGTCACTTTCACTTAAAATCATTTTAGGTTACATAAAACCCATACCTTCGAAATACTATCGTCTCTAGGTGTCTATCCTGCTCTGTTCTCACATGAATAAACACAAGCAGCGAGGAAAAATTAGAGGAGACACTTAAAACTTTTTAGAAATCTTTATGACGTTTCCATCATCACACAGGTTTAAATCTTCACAAGAAAAAAAGCTGAATATCACTCAAGTAATTAAATATTCATGACTCAGCAAACAGCAGCTTGTCTGTTCATAACAAATACTGACACACAAATACAACGGATGCTCTTGTACGCATCATTCTGCTTGCGAAGGATCCCTCAAAGTCAGCAAACGTCCGTTTTTATGTTGTAAACATGTTTACCCTACAGTTACAAATGTGAACAGAATATCTGGCGACTGAATCTGGGTCTGTTTTCAAAAACTGTTACCATGGGGTGAGTCCCAGAAGTTGATTGGCGCACCAGATGCTACAGAATTACATCACACCTCACAAGACCATGATTGAAACAGAGTACTGTTGAAACCAGCTTGGGATAAAACCAATGTGCTGGCTGATTTTGGAAACTATTAGTTGCACAGAACTTTAAATAAATATAAAAGGCCAAAAAAAAAAAACATCAATTTCGGTTTAAAAACTTTGTCAAAAAGTCTTCTGTTTTGTATCATTCCCCTCCTTTAGGCTGCTGGAGACTTCTTTTGTTCTCATTTTAGATTTAGGGTATTTTTTATCTTTCAATATAAACAGTTTTCACCGCACTAAAAGTGAATATTTGGAAGGAGAGAATTTTAACAAAACCTTGAATTGACTTTAAAGATCAGGAGTACACTAGGTCAGTGAGGTTGCACAGGTTCTATTAAATCTGAAGAAAGACACAAATACTAACACACATTTCAGCTCTCTTCGTATGTTCCCGAATGCAGATGCATGAAGTCCGTGCTTCCCTGAATGGATACGGATTTCTGTATACGCTTTGAGTGCTGAGTTATTCATTTACAGCAACAACAAAGTGAATAAAGAGCAGATTTCTCTTCAAAACACTCAGCAGTCTTTGGTTTGTAAAAGATCGATAGGCTTTGATCACGAGTTTGCAAGTTTGAGATGAACCTATGCGGTCAATGCGTACAACTCAAGAACCAATCAAACGTCAGTGTGTTTGCTACATCATTGGATTCCCAGGGTTTTTGCCCCATGTCCCAAACCAAAGACTCCATCCTTCTAAGGTGGCATTTGAAGTATAATTATGAAAAATGGGCACACAAATACTGCTTTAATGGAATTTAAGTATTTCATCCTCCATTTTGCTTTCCACATCTGACAAAGCAGAAGAATTTTAACGAGTGAAGACATTAACCAAAAATGCCTTGTCTGGAACTGTTAGTAAATCTGAATCCCTTTCTGTCTGCTGTATGACTGGCTAAGGTAATGCACTTCGAGCAGACCAATCACACTCAATCTACTGCAAAGGGCAAATTAAAGTACTTTCATACCACACCTCCCCACTGGAGGGTATACATACCGAGTGTGAGTGTAGGCACACTTCCTGGATAGCTGGCAGTTCCTCTACTGAGAGACAGAGCACGAAGAAAAATGACATTCCAGTGAAGTTTTCATATCGGATTCGTTTTTCACAAGGAGAACGACCAATGAAAGCTGGCTCTTTGGATGATGTAAATGAGCTGCTTGGTGGCGCTCATCCCACATATTCACAGTGACTTCACAGGAAAGAAATAACGCCTGCCATCCAAACGCTGAGACCATAATACTACAGGAGCTTTCGAGTCCTTCTCAGAATGAACTGATTAGGTTTATTGTGTTCTTCCAGATGCAGTGCCTTTTTGTTGTGTAGGGACAGTCTTGGTCGTTGAGTCGAGTGTTTGGGTCACCAGCACTCTTCCCGATTGTACAACGAGGTAGAGTTAGTGAACCTTGCTAACTCACGGCTGCTTTGTTTGGCCGTGCCGTCTCCCCACTCCTCTATAGTGCCCATCCAGCATTCCTCCCTATAGGTCAAGGTATTCGATGCAAATTATCGATACGCTTACCCATGCAGATAGATGGAAAAGTTTGTATGCCCCACCCTCATGTCGTAATTGGGAACCCATTACATTCTTCCTGGAGGTGCACAAAAGTTCACAAATTCCTGGACGATTCTCATCTCTACAAGGTGTTTGAGATCTTACTGAAAGCTATTCGCTAGATGCTCATGTACTCCTCAAGTGGAAAAGGCTGTGGCAGTACATTTGTCCCATCTGCACTGAGATCTCAGCAGCCCTGATGGATCAGAGAAACAATGGTTCCGTACAAGAGCCAGAGAGGAGTCCAACTTGTTGCAGCTGTTTGATAAGCAATATGTAAATTGACTTCTTGTGCAAGTATTTCTGAGCTGCTTTTTGTTGGTTTTAGAAGTTTCCAAGGAGAAGCAAGCCACTGGTTAGCGGCAGTCGTTTGTTTCACGTTTACAAAACATGATGTTCCAAAACCGTAGCTAGATATATGGTACCATCTCAAAAAACATGTTGGCACTGATTGTAGAGTATACCACAGATTAAGCCCCCATGGGTCTTAATGGTGTCCAAACATCAATCCCTGATAGAGAGACTTCCTTCTGTCTGTGGTGCAATCAACAGAAGGTACGACCAATTCTCCTCGTAAAACATGGGAGAGCAGTTTGGGTTTTAGAACAGTTTGAGTAGGATCAGCGCGCTTGAGGGGCATTCCCAAAGTCACCTTCAATTCTTTACACAACAGAAAACCGGTTCACAGAACAAGAAGCAAGATTGAAATTAAAATATGATTTTAGAATATAAGTAACAAAAAATATTGACTCAAATTTAGTTCACATCTCTGCATCCGCTGTGACACATGGCTACATCTTGGACTTTTTTTTCAGCTAAAAAGGTCTGAATCTTTACATGCTTAGAAGGATGTAGCCCTTGGATTGGGACTGCCATGTCTATATGTGTGCGCGTGTGTGTGTGCATGCTTATGTGCGTGCTCTATGTCAGCCCAATCTCCTCGAGGACACTGCGAGGTGTTTCAGCTTCCTGTGAAGAAGAGCAAGAGATTCGTTCAGCACTGAAAAAACTTAAGCACACAGTCACAGAGGGATTCCCACACACAACCAGACACTCACACCAAACCACACTGATACAGATGCTCTATATACACGAGCAGTCAGAAGTTTGGCATCAAACAAAAGTTCTATTTGTCAAAGGAAACAGTACTTAACTGGGGTCTCATTTAGAAAAGTTGCATACGTACAAAACGGACCCAAAAAGTGAGTACTCCTTTTTTTGCGCAATGTTTCAGATTTATAAAAACAACTAGACGTCAAAGATGGCTTATCCTTATGTAGACTATGAACTGTGAGTACATAAACTTAAAGTACGGCGTACTGTGGATATTTGAGGTATTAGTGACAGCCAGTGGAAATTTGAAAGGCATATACAGTGGTACCCCGAGATACGAATGCTTCGAATTACAAAAGGTCTTGCAGGAAATTTTTGCTTCGAGATACGAAGAAAAATTTGAGATACGAACAACTACAAGCTGTATTTTCTGTTTATTGCTGTATTTTCCGCTTGACGTCATGCTGCGCTTCCGGGTCCTGATATGCTTCGAAACACTTCAGAGCTTTTCGGGTCACTTAGCATGAAGCAAAAGTAAAAATTTAAGACATCAGTGTTGTTTTTAAGAAGATTAGTGCGTGATTTAGATGCGTTTTATAGTGAATGGGTTGTTTTTTAATGACACTGTTTTGTGGGCGGGCTCATAACGCACATAATTGCATGCGATGAAATTCGGGATTGTTCGGGAGTAGTGTGACCGAGGCTTTACCACTGGTGCTACCAATGAAGCAATTAATGCATGCCTATATAGAGCTAACCAATCAATCATCTCTGACACCATCCAAGCTACCCTTCTTTACATCCTCATGTCCCCACTTGGGGGGGTTAAAATATCAAACTCCATCTTTTCTCGGAAAGCTTGCCTAGGACCCACCAGACATTGAACAGGTCCTGATAATAACTTGTGATGTTCCGTAGGCACCTCCACAAGATAGATACTCTTGATGGACGTTATCTGTGTACCCTACACTTTTCCCACAGCTGCTCTCCGGGGTTAAAGTGGAGAGACCGGTGTCGTCTTTTATTCTCATCTAAGGTAAACATTTTATCTGATATCAAACTTTTGACTGATACAAACAGTACATGCGACAATCACAGAGAGAAAGAACTTACTTTGGCATCCTGAGCATCAATAGGCAAACAAGAGGAAAGAGAAGAGATGAATCAGTTCAACTTTAGCTTTACTTTCAAACTCCCAAAAAATCTAGTGTTTAAAGAGTTTAGAGTCATTCCCAATTGAAGAAATCTAGTCTTCTTTAAGTCCAAGCATCAACCTCATTGAAATTACACTTTAAGTTTTGGAGCTATTTGACTGTAGTTTACTTTTTTCTCTTATTTATCACTTTAGATTTAGAGCTTAACTGCGTTTAAAGAATTGTAGGTAGCTGAGCGTTAAGAGTGGACTAGCTCCAAACCAAATTATACACACCTGAAGAAGCGTATTAAAATCGTACTAAACCTGGTGACCTCTTCAAAAATCTAATAAAGAGTCCACATGTAAAAAGAGGCTGTTTTTCACTGTGACGGGAATAGCAGGGTTTTAGTTAAACTCAATCTAGTTCCAGTCTTGTTCTGTTTAAAGGGTGTTCCATTTCTGACAGCAATCACAACCAATAGGATCTCACTATCCAATAAAGAGCACATTGCATCAATTAAAAGAGGGGCTTGGAAAAACGAATCATTGGAGACTTGGATGCTTTTTACCTTTGCAAGTCGACCTGCTGCAGAAATATAATTCTTTCATATTTTGACTCTTTAAATT